TATTCGCCCTGGCCATGGCTTATGGTATAGTCCCGATGTTTCCGTGGCTTGATGTATAACGCTTTCTCTGATTCCGATAAAAACTTGAGGCCCCGGATCGTTCATATTGGTTGGGACTATCCTAGTTTGCAAGTACGAAGACAGACGTGTTCCTTACAATCTACTCTGTCTCGGGTCGTCATCCCGTCTCTAATGTAAAGGCCATGATTCATAACTCAGGATGCGGATTAGTTGGAGCTCAGCTCAACCTCTGAAGCTTGATCGTGACTTACTTCTAAGACTAAATTTCCGTATCGAAGTAGACTCTCGATCATTCCCTACACTGCTATTCAAATACCGAGTTCGCCTCTGTCTAGTCAACATGGGCTTCCAAGTGTTAAGGAAGGTTTACGAGTGACTTCGCGTCGACATATGGCTCGAGCCTCCACGCTCGTTGAGACCTTGATTTATAAAGTATCTAACGTTCGGAGTCCTGACCATGGTTCCAATATCGGAGGGACATTTCTCTAGATCAAGCCTAGACATATAGTTTTAAACGACTTCCGTGAACATGTTAAGGAGCTACGTATCTCAGTAGAGTCTAGTGAAAATTGTTGCTTCTTGACTTGTAACACTAGGTATAAATAGTCATACGGCTATCCGACTACTTGTAGGGAATGAGCCTGGCTTTATACAGCCCTAGAGGCAGACCCATTCTGATACATGTGAGCATAGCCCATCTGCATCCATGCACGGGTTTCAGGTCGCGCCAAAGTCTGGTATATTCCGCCTGCAGAATAACGTCTAGAATGTCGCCCGTAGCTGATGGTTTGTAACTAGGAGATGTTGATTGAAACAATGCGATACAAGACAAGAAACCACTTGGAAGTAATAGTAGGAGAGAGTATGCTCTTAAGTGACAACAATGTACGGTAATAGAGCCTTATACTTGATGGATCATGGGTTCGGGGCTTGACTGGCTGCTTAGATCGATCCTAATTGGATACAGACTTCAAGGGAACTGTCACAGAATAATGGCCCCTTAGAAGCAATTTGGTCTAACTCTGTACCAGCTGACTATTATTTAGTCACTTCAACATATGTGTGCTTTACAAAGAAACATGGGTTGCGAGACGCAAATATCAGGTTGGACTTTCGTATGGTATCTCTGTCAATGTCCTGGGTCACAAGTGTTGGAGTCTACTTACGCGACGGCTTCTAATTCCCATCTTCCAATCCAACACTGATCGTTCCGTCTTCTTCAAGGACGACGGTTACTCAAGAGAGACGGCATACAATTTGACGCCGACTAGTGGCTCACTATTGTACCAGAAGAAGCGCGTTACTTTGACGTGTACTCACCCGTCTAAGACGGCAGTCAAGGTCCCTGAGGACCTTGAGGGTCAACAGAGCTTCCCGTATACCAGCTGTCTCACAAACACAGATTGAGATCGCCGTGATTCACTTGCCATTTTACTCTTTCCATACAACAGCGAATAATCCATTGGAAGAACCAATAACAGAAACGAAGCCCCTCGTGCAAGGCGGCAAAGAATCAGTCACCGAATCCCTTGAGGCTGGAAAATATACCACGAATTGCTATTACTCTGAAAACGACTCCACGAAGTGAAGCGGCAAGAATACCTTTCATTATCTCCATCGGGTAGGCAACAAATGGCATAGATCTTCCTCGAAAGCGATTTGACGACGACACCTGGGCAGGAGCTACGCGCGAGTCGTCCATCTTGTAGTGACGTAGTTTCCCTCATGTCGTTTGCATACAACGAAGACTCACTTAGATTGAAGTAGACAGTGTTAAACTGAGCATTGCATGCGTCATGATTGTTCAGCTTGGTATCCAGTAGTGCGGCATCTCAGCATTGTGGATGTCTAGGATGGAGATATTCAGCGACTAGGTAATCGACAAATCTATCCATTCTTTCGCTTTCTACCGCAATGAGGAGATAAGTGAGATACATATCCCGTCGAGTATGACAGGTTATGTCTTTCTCAAGCCTCGTATAATGGCCAAGAGAAGTCCTGCTTTCTCTCCCTCATCAAGTCTGCAGCAGCCAACGCCAACAAGCCATTCAAAGAAGAAGCCATGCAACGCTGGAGAGTCTTTCAACCGGCCTCGAAACCCTAGTGTCTTCTATCAAACTATCACAAAAGTTTGATTCATCCTAAAGATGGTTATGATCACTTGGGGTTTTCATCTCGAATAAGTTTGCGTTGACTATAGCAACTTTCATGGCTGATGTTTACCGGAATCAGTTTCACAAAGTGACGAGGATAGATTTCAAAGAACAGCAAGTATTGGGTGGATTTCAGTCATTCCTTGAATGAGATGAAGAAGGACCCGATGGCTCGACTATTTGGGAATGCGAGGAATCACCTCAGTAATGGTCTAAGGAAAGGCGTGTGTATTTCATCATACGCAAATCCACCATCATATTGCCTATCATAACTCCTAGCCTAAATTTTAAAGGTACAAGACAAAATCTATGGCTCTCGAAGGAATTAGAAGTAATCTTCAGTCAAAAAGCATCATTCAGCCTGTGCATGTCATACAGAAAACATGAGGTGAAGCTATCCAAGCCTACGAATGTCACGTTTTGAGGCCATCCTATGACTGCCACCTCGTCTTCAAACACTGCGAATGCTTCAGACAGACGTGTAACAAAACAAATCACTACAGTGGTTCATATTGTTGATTATCCTCCGTACTATACTAAACCGAAGGGAGTAGGGCGCTTGTCAACTATACTACAAGACCTGTGCGTATGGCTCGGATGTCCCAGACAAAGCACAACATAGCCCTCATAGGTCCGTAGCTAAACGCGCCCTGGGTATCATTCTCTCCTTTTCGCGTTTATTTCTTCTCCAGCTCGTCAAGAATGGGCTTCTCCAAGCTCTCGGGCTTGGTGGTGCTGGCCCAGCGGCCCTTGACCTGGCCGTCGCGGCCGACGAGGAACTTTTCAAAGTTCCACTTGATGCGCTTGAGGCCCATGATGCCGGGCTTCTCCTCCTTGAGCCACTGGAAGAGGGGGTTGGCGGCATCGCCGTTGACGTCAATCTTTTGCATGATGGGGAAGGAGACGCCGTAGTTGACCTGGCAGAAATTCTGGATCTCGTCGTCGGAGCCGGGTTCCTGTCCGCCAAACTGGTTGCAGGGGAAGCCGAGGACGATGAAGTCGTCGCCGTGCTTCTCCTTGATGTCCTTGTAGAGCTTCTCGAGGCCGGCGTACTGCGGGGTGAAGCCGCACTTGGAGGCGGTGTTGACGACGAGGACGACCTTGCCCTTGTAGTCGGCGAGGGGGACCTCTTGGCCGCGCTCTGTTTTGGAGGAGAAGAATGCATGTCAGCCAAACCGTTTTCAAGGTGATTGATTTGTTATCACGCAACAATGGGAATCACACATACTGTCCAAGGGCTTGAAGTCGTAGAAGCCTGTTGCGGAAGCCATTGCTGCGGTTGTGTGAATTTGGCGTTGCTGTTCTGCAATAGCTCTAGAATTACCCCGCAATTGGATCTTGTTGATTAGTTGCGGTCGGTCCGGCGATGATGCACAAGTTTTGAGCGAGTAGATGTAGGGAAGAAAAAGTCTTGGATGATGCACAGCTACGGAAGCAGCAGTGGAAGTTGTTTTGAGAGAGAAGGCTCTGGTATGTAGTTGACGAAACATGCCATGCGTGACGCCACGAGGGAGGGATTGGGTGATGCAGGGACGGACGGGAAGGGAAGTGCGTCGTCCTTTCCTGTCACGCCTGTTCCCTTCGCCAGTGGTGCTGCCGGGACAAAGTTTCAATCCGGTTTCCAATGGGGTCCCCGGGCACGGGCGTGCACTCGCATCGAAGCCACACCAACAGACCCAGGTACCACGTATGCGTACACAGTATTCCGTAATTACCTACGGATACCTTCCATTACCGTTAGTGTTGCACCATCACACTTCCAATGCCTCCACAGAGCTGCACTTTGACACCTCGAATGGGCCAGAACAAGAGGGGTACGACGGGGTCTTCGGTCGAAAGTGGGGCCCCGTCACGATGGATGCGGGAGGGTCGACAAGCTCTGCATAGGCCGAGGTACGGGACGGCATGTCCTGGTTCCGTTTTGTTTCGATCTAGACATGCCAATGTAACAGCTTGTCTTTGGTCGCTGGTGACACTGGTAGGTAGATAGATGTGTATCAACAGTGCATTGCCTACAAAGCGCAACTCATACAGTAAGCTCTGTTCCCAGGATTCTCGCTTGAAGTCAACCAAAAGACATCATCTCTGGCAACTCATCAGCTTGTCAATACTGAATCACTACTTCGGATTGATGAAGCGAACGCGAGACCCGGCTCTTCATGTGAGAGTGGAGCCAGTCGGCTGAATTTGTTGTTCCGGTGCCCGAGTCGGCCAGTCCAGATGGGTGTTGAAGCATCGACTTTTGCGAGTTTGTTCAGCACCAACTTTGAAGTCCGGGTCTTCCGTGGCGGCAGACTGCCCGAGTCGAGGCAAGAGCACCGAACAGCCGGGGAGGCTAGGTAGGTATCTCAAATCCAATGGAGGGGCTCACGCAGCCACGCCAGACCGGCTCATAACGTTATCGGTATTTGGCCACCCATCGATTGTCAATTACTAAGCAGTACGCAGCCGAGCCGAGGCGGATCAATGCTTGTTCCGTCATAGCTCCCTCGCCGAGGTGATTTCCGTATTTGGAATGCAAGGTCGACCCTGAGCCAATTGCCGCCCCGGTCTCTCTCAGCGCAATCTTTCCCAATCACCAGTACGCGAATCACCCGAATCACGCCAGGCTGCTCGAGACTTTACTGCAACCCGCTACCAACAGATACGGATACCTGCTCCAAAGTACCTTGAAGAGGGGGGGCTGCAGCCCGGTCGCGGTCTCGTTCTATCAACGTTCCGCCGCCGTCACCACGCGCTATCGATAAGGAACTTACCCCGCCACGGACCGTGCCCCTCAAGGAGCTCAGGGTCAAGCAGGACACGGCCGCCCCACGGGGTGACGAAATGCCCGCCGTCAGGAAGAAGACGAAGAAGCAGCGGCGCGAGAAACGACAACTCGACACTGCAAGACGGATACTCGAGGAAGAGGCCCTGTCGACACTAACACCGCCCTTGCCAGCCATGGATCCCCAAGCAAAGCGCAACATTGTCATCGTCGGTACGTCTACTACACAACAGGGTCGTCTTCGTCGTCGTCGCCACTTTAAGTAGACTGACATCAAGGGCATGGCCACTTTGCAGGTGGCGGCATCATCGGTTCCACAACGGCCTACTTCCTCACAAGACACCCGAAATACAACCCTGCCCTCCATCGCATCACAATCCTCGAGGCCACTGCCATCGCCTCAGGCGCCTCTGGCAAAGCGGGCGGCCTACTCGCCCTCTGGGCCTACCCGTCTTGCCTCGTTCCACTCTCCTACCGCCTGCACAAGGAGCTCGCCGCGGAGCACGGCGGCGAGAAGAGATGGGGCTACCGGCGCGTCAATTGCGGCAGCTTCGAGGCCCGCGTCACGAAGCAGACGCTCGAGAACATTAAACAAGCTGCCGTGAAACCTGAGGCTGCCGTGCCTGGCGCCAACGAAGGCGAGCAGGAAAAGGGGTGGGAAAGGCTGCCGAAGCAGGACGAGGCCGCCGAGGCCATGTTGCGAGATTCGGGCGGCGTCGTGCCGGGGGACCTCGACTGGATCGATCGGGCCGCTGTCGAGACGTACGCCGAGATGGGCAGGCCCGGAGCGACGGAGACGGCGCAGGTGCATCCCTACGACTTCACCACGTCCATGGCGGCGCTGGCGCAGGAAAAGGGCGTCGAGGTGCGGACCAACGCGCAGCTGAAGAGGATTATCTCCGGTGAGAGCGCAGGCGGTGGCGGCGGCGGCGGCGGCGGCGGCGGCGGCGTCAAGAGCGTCGAGTACCTTGATCGCGAGTCCAACGAGACCCGGACGATCGACGACGTGACGGACGTCCTAGTGTCCGCGGGGCCGTGGACCGGTCGCCTGCTGCCGCGGTCTAAAGTCACGGGCCTGCGGGCCCACAGTGTCGTCTACAACGCCGACGTGAGCCCCTACGCCGTCTTCACCAGCATCAGGCTCCCGGCCGACTTTGTGCCGGAGCACCGGGTCAGCAAAGGACAAAAAAGAAAACACAAGCGCGTCGTCGACCCGGAGATTTATGCGCGGCCGTATGGCGAGGTGTATGCATGTGGTTCGTTGCCCCCTTTCCCCCTTCCCGTCCCTTCCCGTCCCTTCCCCTTAGACATATTCAAAAACCAAACCCCAAGTCATCAAAGACACAAAGCTTACGGCAATACTCCCCACACTCTAGGCGAACCAGATGAAGACGCACCCCTCCCAGACACAGCAGACAAGGTCCAAGTAGACGAAGCCAACTGCGACGACATCATCTCGTACATCGCCACCGTCAGCCCCGCCCTGGCAGCCGCCTCCGTCAAGGCGAAGCAGGCGTGCTACCTGCCCCAACACGAGTCTGGCCCCCTCATCGGCGCGACATCGGTCCCGGGCCTATGGCTCGCGGCCGGCCACACGTGCTGGGGCATCCAGAACGGTCCCGCGACGGGAAAACTCATGTCCGAGTATATACTCGACGGCAAGACGGCCAGCGCCGATATCTCGGAGCTGGATCCGAGGCGGTATAGAGTCTAGGTGGTCTGTGATATTTAACGCAGACATGCAGTGGAAGCGCAATTTGGTACTGGAACCGTTGCTGCATGGTATAGAAAACATGGTAAAGACGCATGATTAATGAAACATGAATAGTCATTTGAAAAAATCATAAAATCTATTATGAGGCTCCTCTAGGATACTCGGTCCCGAGGACAATATCTCTGACTATGCGCACCTCTTAGTGCAAGAGTACCAAGTTGGCTATGGCACCAACAAATGCAACCTCTCATCCCAAATCGTTATTTCCGCGCCCAAAAACTCCCTATAAAACTATCGATAGATGCCAACCCACTTTGTGTCTTTTTGGAGGGATGAGGACAAAAAAGTTCGAGCTATGTCAGGCTAGGTACCTTGGTGAGAGTGAGGTGGGGGGTACGCCAAAGAGCTCGGCACATCATCACCCCGGACATTCTTCCGAGACCTAGCCCGGGGAAACTACCCCCACCGCCGTGATCGGTGGGAAGGGGGACGTTTACCCCACCATCTGTCACGCCGGGCACAAAAAAAGTTGCCCGCACGCTGAAATCATTTCTCATGAGTGCATGAAATCATGAGAACGAGGAAGATTACCTTCCAATTAGAGGGAGTTCTCAATGTCCATGACCTCCTTGATGCCCTCCTCAATAGAAAGGGTACGGGCCTTCTCCAGACGTCTCAGAGGCCGTCTTGGGAAGCCTCCGTAGCCGTAGTAGCTCTGGATGGCGCCCTTGGTGCCCGCGATGGCAGCCTTTGTCAGGAACCAGTCGCCGCGGCTGAGCTTCTTCTGGAGCTCAATGGCCTCGTCCCTCTTGCCCTCCGAGTAGAGGTTCCACACCTTGACGCAGACCTTGGGCATGACATTGGCACCGCCGGCGATGATGCCGCTGCCGCCGCTGGCGAGGGTCTGGGCCGTGAAGTCGCATATGCCGCCAAAGGCCATGTAGCCGGAGCCTTCTGACCAAGGGGTCTTTGCGTTGGTGGCGAGGGCTACGCGGGTGAGCTTGCCCGTGTTGCCGCAGGTGAACTTTGTGCCGACGATGTTGGGGTGCTCCGCCAGCTTGATGAGCAGGTCGCTGTCCATGTCGATGCCAGAGACGGCGCCGGGGTAGTTGTAGAGGACAAGAGGGATGGGGCTCTGGTCGGCGACGGCGATGAAGTAGTCGTAGATGGCCTGCTCGTCCATTTGGGCGCGGAAGTAGGAGGGGGGAAGGATGAGGGAGTAGTCGGCGCCGACCTCGAGGGCGGCCTTGGAGAGCTCAATGGTGCCGCGGACACTGCCCTCGGTGGCACCGAGAATGATGGGGGTGCTCTGGAAGCCGGCAGCGTCAAGAGCCTCACGGGTGGCCTTGGTCACGGCCAGCTTCTCCTCGCGTGTGCAGTGGGCAGCCTCTCCGTTGGAACCCATGACGACCAGACCGGCAAGACCAGCCTTGGCCAGGCGCTCGGCGTGCTTCTTGATGGTAGGGATGTCGAGATCTTCCGTCTCGGGGTCGAAGAAGGTCATGGTGGGGGCGTAGATGCCGACGGGGAGGGGGCGGCGAGCGCCACTGCTTCCGTTGGAGACGGTCATGATGGGCTGGTTTGGTGGGTGAGCTGGATGAATGAGAGAGCTGTGAGCAAAGTGTGAGTGAGAGGGGTAGGTTGTAGAGGTGAAGAGCACAAGAGAAGAGTGGTGTGGTTGGTGAGTAGAGGTGAGAGGTAATACTTACCAGTGAGACGAGTAGAGACCGGTGTTGTATTTATAGGAGGGAGAAAGAAGAGAGACGACGAGGAGGACGGGATGATTTCCGTGAGCTAATGGGCTTGTTCCAGTATCAGCAAGCCCGCGTGGGGTGGGATGAGTCTAGAAATAAATATTTGACATGTCGCGAGGGCCTTGCTCGTGTGGACATTGGCCCGAACTATCGAGCATCGTGTAGACTCAAAGCCAAGACCGGAGAAGCTAACAACTGCACAACGGGGCCACCTTGGGACGCTCCCTTGCACCCCCAGTTGGGGGAGGGAGGGGGAGGGGCAATCGGAAACTAGACGAGAAGAACGCTAAGAGAAATGGAGAAGGGGGTGGAGTGTGCAGAGAAACGAGGTGCATCGCCGGTACTGCGGCAAGCGGTTCCTGTTTCCAGGTAGCTCAACAATGAGGCTTTTGGTGTCCAATTCCTACTCTTTGATGGCCCGCATTAGCCTACTAGGATAATGATGGTCAAGCTCACATATTTGCAGATATCTTGAGTGAAGATATGGACAGCATTGGTGAGGATGAAGTCGGCTCGCTGCGTTTCAGTCCCACTTTGAGGAGGAATCCTCTGGGCAGGGCTCTCAGTCATGGCGGGGTATTTGCAGACTTCGAGAAAAGACAGTCGTCACACGTCACAAGACGAAGGAAATCCGAGACAAGCAAGGGACTTCCCTTGAAGCTCCGATCCATCCAACATCGCCCACCCACGTCTGTGGTCCGTGGGCTCCGGTAATAGACGGTAGGGAAGATGCATCTGCTGTAAGCTGTAGCCTTGTGTCGTGGGCAGGATCTGCTGGGAAGATGGATTGCGCCAATGCCACGAGATCTGCACGGAGGCAACCAGCACAGGGCTGGGTGGTGTCCGAAATCTGAAAACGCGCGTGGAGGGCAATACCAGACGGTGATGAGAAAGATGGCATTATTGGGAGAGCTGTCGTCTGGTCATGCAGCACAAGGCTAGTCAAGCCCGTCTTGAGCATTAGCGCTGAACTGGGACATGCACAGCTGCAGGCCGGAGGGTGCCTGGCAAATCATCCGGCGATTGGTAGCCCAGTCTCGGGTTTGCTCGCCCGTCGTGCATGAGTTGAACTTTTTTCCGTTGTCATCTCTCTTTTGACCTATCGACACCGCCAGAAGTGTAGACGCACTAAGCGGCATATTGGAGACGAGGAAAGTGACAAGAGCCACGGCGGCAGTGGTGTTCAGCTCAGAAGATACTGAAACCCTACGGTCAGCATCAAGAAGTGAATTCGGTAAGATGTCTTGCTGTGTATCTGGAGACGAGCCAAGTAAACTATGCTCTGTGCCAGCGATGGCTTTTCTCTAAGCAAGTCCGGATCGCTACCGGTCAGCTCCGATGACCGCAGCCTGTGGCCGGCGGGAGAGAACCGGTAAGGCCACTGAAACAGTAGAGCATCTAGCAGATGGCGCAGTGCATCGCTGTAGCCTCTTTGCAACGATATGTGAGAGGCTGGCCGGCGATACGAAGCGTATGGAGTGGCATGGATTTGTGCGTCGTTGAAGTGTTGGAGAAGGTTGGAAGTGATGGAGATGGAAGTCAAATGAGTGGACGGAGAAATTACGTCCAAGATGTTCCTCCAATAGGAAGCAGAGAACTATGCCTGGCAGGGTAAGTGGGGTGTCTTTGAATGAGTGGAGGTACCACGGTACCTTAGCTTCAGAGTTGGAGCAGGCACGGAGGGGTACGAGGGGTCTAGCCATCGGCGCTGGTACGGAATGGACGAGCGAAAGGACATAATGTAGGTAACAAGACTCGCGATCAATGTGAGATGCATGTAAAAAGGCGTTAGGTAGTCTAATATTCTGAAGAACCTTTCAAGGTTGGTGTGGCCTAGAGTCTGCGCTACGTTCTGGTGCAGATAGCATCATGAAAGGCTTCATGTTGTAAGTATTGAGTTACATAAGCTACTAGGTATCTACTTCTTAGACTCCAATTCTCGGGTAAAGTCGTTCAAAATATTGCATATTGCTAATGTCGCGGGCAATGAAACTCAAGTTGGTAGACTGCTGGCCAATACAACCACAGTCTTTAGCCGGTTGGAGAGGGATTAAATATCGAATTCTGCAGCCGATGTATCGTGTGCAGCAGGTAAAGGATCCCATCGCCTAATTTTCTTCGGAGCAGGATGCCCTGGTGCGCGTTTCGGAATGAAAATTACTGCATCAGCCGTAACTGCCTGCATACCGTCTGTCAGACGGGTTTTACAATCGAGAAATTTCCTAAACGCATTCTGTCCAGCGAAATGCGCAGTCTTATGGCCTACGGATACCTTGGTGGTTTATTGAGATATCAACTCACTCAAGGTACCTTGTCTCATGTATTTCATACCAGCGGTCATCCATGTCACGAGTTGTCGCGGGGCAGATGGGGCGTGGGGGCGGGGAATGGGGCCAGGAAAAAGATACTTATACCAGCACTGAGGTTGTGTGTCCCCGGGCGGGCGAAGGCTATCCAGGTAAACTTCGTCAAGTCCAAAATCAGAAACTGAGAATATTGGCTTCTTGAATCATTTAGCTTCCGTTTAGTTCGACGATTGTCCAACATCATTCTTGCTCGCTCTCGGCTCTCAAAAGTTTGGGGATTGAGTTGTGGTACGAATACTCTAAACAGGGTTGATTCTTCTACGAAATGGTCTTCCCAGCCAATGGGTCATAACCGGCGTTAATTGCTCTAACCAGCCAGCAATTGATCACCCCGTTTAAACAAATTGGCATTATTCTCCTTGGCCGAGTCCACACGTTACTAGGCCGACTACTAGCACAAAGTGAGGTACACAAGCACACCCGTTGAACCCCAATGGAAGAACGGCACGACGCTGCCCCACACTTGCGTTTCCCACGGCCCCTCCCCCTCCCCCTCATTCCACTTTTTTTGCTGCCCCTCCATGTTTCTCTTCTTCTTCAGTCGCGAAACCGCAACTCCCAGATGTCTTCCCTCTGGTTATTTCTCTGAAATGAGAAGGCAATGCACAGAAAAAATTTCAAAGAAGAATTGGCTACGGAGTTGCCCTGGTATCATTGGAAGCCCATGCTAAATCATGAAAATCCGGCAAGATGGCGTGGCGGCGCAGCCTCCGTCTTGGGCTTGAATCGGCCGGTGCGACCCTCCGAACACCGGCGTCGACGGCACCGTGGCTTCGGTCATGCTCGGGATGTGTTTCCAGAAGCGGCAGCATGTTTTTTTTCTTCTCCTGCATTCTTTCCCCTCTAGGGACAAATTCCCATTACTATAGTCAGAAGTTCT